CAGATAGCTACAGACTCACACAAAGACACAAACACAGTCATACACGCAGACATATACACACAGACATACAGACACAGACAGAGATGCACACCCCACACCCATACACATACAGACGCACACGCAGACAAACACACACCGACACACACACGCTGCCACAGTCACACAGTCACATATGCACAGTCACATACACAGACATACACACACACACATGCAGACACGCACACGTATACAACAAAGAGGCACACACAAACAGACAGCCACACACAGGCACACAGACATAGATGCACACCCCACACCCATACACATACAGACGCACACGCAGACAAACACACACCGACACACACACGCTGCCACTGTCACACAGTCACATATGCACAGTCACATACACAGACATACACACACACACATGCAGACACACACACGTATACAACAAAGAGGCACACACAAACAGACATCCACACACAGGCACACACTGACAAACACACACACACTCACACACACACACACCTATCTATATTTCATAAATAGACCTATCGGAACTTTTTGGGTGATGTCGCCAGCATCACGCCGTCCGCCATTACTTCCCAGCACTGCACCTGGTACCCATTAAAGGCTGGGTCGACCTGGGAGCCAAAGTCATTTTAAAAAAAAGTCCGACTTCACAGCCTTCCGATCCACAAACGAGCGTCTAGCCGCTAGTTTCCCAGTATGATTTAGGAATTTTGTTTGTTTTGGTCACGTCCGGCTGCGTATGTCTATATTTAAATCTAAAGATGGCCGTGGTTTTTGTGGACTGACTGCTTCTTTGTCATAACTGGGTTTTCCGTTATTGCGGGAATTCCTGAATCTCTTATTTATAGCACAAGTTGTAAATCCGAATTTAACTGGGTATATTTTAGAGCCACAGTTTGTAGTATATCTCACCAAGTTTCATTAAAAGGTAAGTCATTATAATAAAATAAATGTGATATTTCATTTTTGTGAAACTTAACTTTTCTGTTTCAGTAAACAATATTTAGTTAGAGATGTGTAACAATGCGTACAGCGACTTTTAAAATGTACTAAAATTAAAAAAAAAAAAAAAATTAAAAACTTTTGTCTCTCAGAATTGTGTTTTCTGCACGCCGCATTATGGCAGTGAAAATGGTCGACTTTTTCTAAAAATAAGGTGTTTCGTCCTTTTTAGGACGAAATTTTTGGTTATTTGAAGCCCCACCCTGGCTTTTGCCAGGGGCCGCAATATAGGCAGGCCATAAGTAGGGCCAGTTGTATGAACGCGATTTCTGGGACCTCTCCACGGCGATCCTCATCCACTTTGGCACTTTGTGTCATCGGTTGTTTATCGCTTGTGTAATGTCCTGGTGGGGTAGAAAGTCAGTCAGTCAGTCGACTTTTTCGCACCAGGAAAAAATTGGTAAATAGCTTTCACGTGCGATGCCTAAAAAGAATATGTGGCATTAAGTGGCAAGACAAGTTCACAAACACTGATGTATTGGAAAGAGCAGGTATTGTGACGAAGAACTCAGAATTAGTTTCATAAATATTTTGGCCCGTAGATTGCGACATAGTAAGCAATTTCTAAGTGTGAAATAATCCTAAAATGTTTTTTTTTTACGTATCCAGAAACCACGAGTTGTAAACCCTTTGGCTCGGTACAATGGATATCGCAATCCTTCGGCCTTGATTCCATTATAGGTACCATTAATCTGGGGGAAATGTGGCTTTCCTGCCTACCCCCGGGAGTGAACCAGGACCACAAGGAGTTCGTCACTCGGCCGCCGCGAAAGTCAGGTTTAACCAACTTCGCTAGAGAGCCGGGCAAAATGTATAGTTAAGAGTAAAGTATGAAGTAACAATAACACCACTGGCGTTCCCCAAGTTAGCTTAGGAATAAACGCGACATTTACTATACATTTTGAGGTTGAATTATTCTAAATTCAGTATAGATTCATTTTAGTACTGTCGTTCTGACATCGAAAGAAAGGGAAGGACCTGTTGCGCGAGATGTTTACAATTTTTTTTTTTTTGGGGGGGGGGGGGGGGGGGACCTTGGAAAGTCTACTGCTTTTTTTAGTATCTACACACAGATGTACATTCGATCCTTGTAACTAATGTTGGAGTTACAGTGAGTGACTTTCAGATTGAAAAGGTTGTTGATGCCATAGAAGAACTTTGTGATCCTGTTAGAAACTGTCGAAACCAGAAAAGTAACGTACAAGGTTTTGTGAATTGTAGTGTTGTGTGTGTGCTCTTCATGCTGGTTGGTACTTCTGGAGTAATGTGTTAAGAGAAGTACACCACAATTAAAAATATCTGCATATCGTTAAAATCAGTTAGAAGTGCGTTATCAAAATGAGAAGTCTAAAAATCTTGTTTGGAAGCCAAAAGAAATCAGATCGTATAAACAACACTGCAGTTTGCAACAAATACTTGTTAGGAGATATGCGTTCCTTTAGTTAAAAAAAAAAAAAAAAAAAACAAGCAAGAAAGAAGAAATTAAATTAAAGTAAAAGTTAAGATCCAATTTCTCGCCTTAGGCGCATCGCGCGTATCGGAAGAGCACCTAATATTTTTACAGACCAATCGGCACTAGGTGGGTAATATGGTCAGCATTACACTGGCCGTCTTTACTTCCCCAGGACATCCATCCTGATAGCCATTTTCGGCTGAAAGAAGAAATTGCCCGAGGAGAAAATTCCTAAGATGAACCACTCAGATTTAATGAAAAATTGAAAAGACAAACGTTGGGGTGCTATGATCAGGAGTTATCTTAGATCCACTAAAAGTCAACCTCGACTCTCTGGTTCAGCCATCTCGTCAGTTGAAATCAAGGTTAGTGAAAGCATTTGATTTCGATGATGTGATTTTAAAATGTGCAGACGCCAAAGTTACTGGAGAAAATTGGGGTTTAAGTGGTTGTGCTCACAATGTTGAGTAAAGTAACCAGAAAATAACCAATTTTCCTTTTTTAAATAATTTTAAGCGGATGGGGGCGAGGATGTCATTTGAAAAAAAATTCCGTACCGGGTACCAACTGACCTTGCTGTGCCAAATAGGCCATGCTTGAAAACTCCAAATTCACACAAATATCCTTGCAAGCATGTTTTGTATTGCTATTCCATAGGCATCATCTTTTTCTTTTTCCATAGTTGTTTTGCTCACAACGATTGCCTGAAAGAAGGTAATGAAAGTAGATCTCTATATTCAACCATAAGAAAGAGACAAACACTGTTCTTTTTCCACGTAATGAGAAGAGAGATATTGGAGAACATTGTGACAGCTGGAAAGATCAGTGGAAAAAGAGTAGAGGCAGACCAAGAGGGATGATGCTGGATGGGCTTAAACGATGACATGGAGGGATATCATCAAGCAAGCTGTTCCAGGCAACCAGGGATCATGATCTGTTTAGACGCATGAGCGCCTACGCCAGTGGGCAGGGCACATGGTGATGATGATGATAGTTTTTTTTTTCCTTTAGTGTCATTAATAAGACACGTGGAGACACATGAGCGCCTACGCCAGTGGGCAGGGCACATGGTGATGATGATGATAGTTTTTTTTTTCCTTTAGTGTCATTAATAAGACACCACTACCTGACTGAACAGCCTTAAAAGTCTATGGTTAAGCACTAGCAAGGAGATCAAAATTATAATTTTGAGAGCATGCATCTTCCCTGTGGCAACATACGGATGTGAGGCGTGGACTATCTCCCAGTCCTTAGGAAAGAGAATTAGGGCTTTTGAGCTGAACTGCTATAGATGGATTCTCAGAATATCTTAAACAAAGAAGAGGAGAAATACTGACATCTTGAAAGATCTGAACATCAATGAAGATTGGCTAATAAATAGCATCCTGTCTCAGAAGCTGAAATATTTTGATCATATCAAGCACCACGACGGATTGGAAAAAATGATAGCAGAAGGCATAGTACAAGAAAGGAGGGGCAGGGGCCGACCGACCGACACGAAGATGGGCACAGGATAGAAGTGACTCCTTTAGTATGAAAGTACATGAGACGGGAGAACTGGCGAGAGACCGAGTTTTTTTCAGGCAGACAGTGATGAGAGCGATGTTCTGCAAAGAACCTGCCACATGATGATGATGACATGATCATGTCTCATATAATCAATGAGAAAACACAGCCTACGTTTCTGTATGTTTTTTTATTATATAATTTCTTAAACATATTTCCCCCCCCCCCACCCCCTTGGTTGTATTCTTTGCATTCTGATAAAAAAGTGACAACTCAAAATCACAACAGTTTTTTTTTATGTTAGAGAGTTAGATTTTCTTATTTATTTTTGTGTTTTGTTTTTGTATTTTTGTTTGTTTTAGCTATATTCACAGTCTTTTCTCCCCAAAATAAGTTTTTTTTAAAATTCTCTTTTCTTTTTCAATATAGTTTATCTTTATGGTAGTTTTTAAAAAAAGTATGACAATTAGGGCCTCTCTTGTTTTCTCTCATTTTTATTCAGGTGGAGTGAACTAATGACGTACCGACATTCATAAACATGGGGCAACATTTTGCAAAACTGTCAAAGGAATTCGGACAAAATATTGATTTCCGACTATGGAATCAGGAAACACTGAATCAGTTTAACCAGCTGCAACAAGTTGTTGGGAAAGATACACTAGAGTGTTTTCAGAGCCAGTCTACATTGGGCAAAATGCAAATAGAAAAAATTAAGTTACCTAATTTTGCCATTGCCAGTCATCTTGCACCATACAGTGATTTCATACAGTACTTCACTAGGGAAAAAAACATCGATCAGTTAGATATCAACATAGAGGTAACGCCCTTGATGTTCAGTGCAATTTTAGGACAGACGAAAGTGGCAGAAACATTGCTAGATCAGGGTGCCGATCCTCACGTCAAAAATATATGGGGTCACACCGCTTTTTTATTTGCATGTGCAGGAGGACATGCAGAAATTGTTCTGGTTTTACTTTCAAGGGGCGTCAACATAAATGATACAGATTATCAAGGCAATACAGCTCTAATGTGTGCAATTGTTGGATTAAATGGAGCCGTCGCCAGGGAACTGATTAATCACAAAGCTGACATCCATGTAAAGAATAACAAGGGCGATACCGCTTTAAACATAGCAGCCTTTAATGGACTAAATGACACTGTCCTTCTGTTGATGAAAGGAGGCGCGGATGTGAACACGAGTGACAGAAGAGGTTGGACACCACTGATGAGCTGCAGTCAGTTTAACCTGTTTGAGACAATGGAAATACTGGTAAAGGCAGGAGCTGATGTAAACAGAAGACAGGTGTCAGGAGGCACAGCTCTCGAGATATGCTCTTGCTATGGTCATGTGGAAATCATGAAAATTCTTATAAAAGCCGATGCAAATATTGATAATGTAAACAAACAAGGACGCACAGCGCTAAACATGGCAGCCCTCAAAGGGCAAATTTCGGCTATAGAAATGCTTATCAAGCACAATGCGTCTGTCAGTATCAAGGATAAGCATGGGCGCACTCCCCTTTTCAACAGCACTCTTTCTGGCAGTGAAAGTATTGTGCGTATGCTTCTAGAAGCAGGAGCAGAACCAAACATAGTTGATGACGAAGGCAGTGCAGCATTAATGTATGCATGTCTTAATGGATATACGGGAATTGTTAAGTTACTGCTTGAGAGAGGTGCAGATGATACGATATGTAATTATAACGGTGCAAATGCTTTAAGTATGGCCGTTCAAAACGGTCACATACAAATTGTCAGACTACTACTGGATTATGAAGGAGTAACAAATCTTGAAAACAAAAAGAAAATAGCAGAAAGGACGCAAGTACTTCTTAAAGCTGCAGTCAATGGCAATGCTGAAATTATGAAGATGTTAATTGAAGCTGACGTAGATGTGAATGTCGTAGGAAAAGATGGCAGAACAGCACTGATTATATCTGCTATCGATGGCCACGCTGAAGCAGTTTGTTTGCTCCTTGGGAGAAAGGCTGACGTGAATGCGTCTGATGCAAACGGTGACACAGCCTTGATCATCGCTGCACTTAAAGGAAATTTAAAAATTGTGGAAGCCTTAGTGACTGCCGGGGCAGATGTCAATCTGTCTAACACAAGTGGGCGGACAGCTTTGATGACAGCAGCATACAATGGTCATATTTCTGTCGTAGAGTATTTGTTTACAAACAAAGCTGATGTCAATGCAGAAGAAGCAAACGGGTGGAATGCATTAATGTTGGCATCTCAGTTCGGACACACTTCAGTAGTATCTGAACTTCTGAGTAAAGGTTCATCTGTAAATACTAAAACTGTAGCAGGCGCCACACCCATTAGCATCTGCGCATCACACGGTCACAAAGACACCGCTGAAATGTTAATTGGTCGTGATGCCTTAATTGATATCCCTGATGCGGCTGGCAATACACCTCTAATAAATGCAGCTTCAAATGGTCACACTAGAATAGTCGAGCTACTACTTAGAGAAACAACAGTTGTAAACTTTGCTAACTGTCTGGGGAACACACCTCTAATAGTGAGTGCTAACTCTGGATATGCCGATATTGTAAATCTTTTGCTAAAGAAAAATGCGGATGTAAATAAGGCTGGTAGTCAAGGTACTACTGCCATTCACGTTGCGGCATTGAACGGACAAAGACCTATTGTGGAATCCCTAGTAAAGCATGGGGCGAGAGTTGATATTGTTGACAATAAGAAACGAACTGTTCTAATGGCGGCTGCATTCAAGGGAAGTGCAGAGATAGCTTCATTGTTATTGGATCACAAGGCACACGTGAATCAGTGCAGCGAAGATGGGTGGACACCACTGATGTACAGCGCTCAGTTTGGACACACAGAGTGCATGACAGTACTGCTTAATAAAAACGCACATACAGAAAGAAACGACCGCAATGGCAACACTGCTTTAAATATTTGTGCTGCAAATGGCTTCAAAGAGGCAGTTCATTTGTTACTGAAACATAAAGCCAATATTAATACACAGAATGACATCGGTCATTCACCACTTATGCTCGGTGCTAACAATGGTCACACTGAAATCGTGACAAGTTTGTTACAGAATGAAGATTCTAGACCAGACACAGAGCTCCAAGAATTTCAAAGCGGCAAAACAGCTCTAATCTTGTCTGCCATAAACGGACATTATGAAGTAGTTAAAGCGTTACTTGACAAAGGAGCTAACGTTGATGCCACAGATAACCATAAAAACACAGCACTGAACATAAGTTCGAATTTAGGTCACAGTGCCATTGTGGAATGTCTGATACATTACAACGCAGATGTAAATCTACCCAATCTTGATGGAAACACGCCATTGTTATCCAGTGCTATAAACAACAACAGCACTATTGTACGACGACTCCTGGATGCAAAAGCAGACGCTCACAAGAGAAACAATAAAAAAGAAACAGCATTGCAAGTGAGTGCTAAAAGTGGGTGTAGACAGACAGTGCTATGCCTTTTGAAATATGGAGGGTACGCACAAGATGAAATTCAAGAAGCTTTGGACGCAGCACAAAGCAGCAATCATGTCGATATAGCTGACATACTTACAAAGTCTGAATCAGTTGCATATGAAGGTACATCTTTTTGTCACCTCACATTTTATTTGTTGATTACTCTACTTTCTGTTAAAGCTAATCTTTAGACTAAAGTAAAGATGCGACAATCACCAGTCTTAATTGGTACCGGAAGTAAAGGCGGCCGGCGTGATATTGACCACAATACCCATGGTGTCGATTCGTCTGTACAAATAACCCACTACCATCACGAGCCGGATGCACCACTAGAGCCTTCTCTTTATCATTAAATAATAAACATAAACTAAACTACCACTTCGTTCTATTGAAGTGTCAGAGGTTTTGCTTTCATGGACAACAGTGAAAATCCCGCGAGCACACCAGACTGGTTAAAAAGCAGTCGGCAATGCAAAATCGGAAACAGCGAGCCGAATAGGCCACCATGAAAACAAACCATGAAAACAAAACAACACAAAAATTCACATGTAATGTGCGAAAGTGTCGTATTGTTCTGGTATACACACAGTTAGATACTTGTGGTACTACGCCATTCATGCATTATGCTGAGATTTTTATGTATGTTTATAGAAGGTCAACTAACATGTCGCTGAGGTAAGTTGAGAAGAGAAGTCTATAGGGTATTGGCGGGAGGGGGTTGAAACACTTATGTGTATATCAGTGTATAATTAAATTATATTTTACGGAGAGCAAACCGAAATAATGTACAAGACACTTGTTTTGGCACTAAAGCTTTTTTTTAATTCATGGTGTGTAGCGTTTGACTACAAAGTTTAATCCACCTCCTGTGTCCCATTTTGTCAATAATTTAATAAACCTATGTTATTCCGAGCCCCAATGTCAAACTGTCAAATATTTTCTCTGTGAAAATTCCTTTGTCTCTCTTTTCTTTTACTTTTATTGTTAACTTCTACTAAGGATATATCCAACAAATGGGGATTCTGCAAATCGAATACGACCAACTAGTTCATTTCACATTTAAAAAAGAATATCTTACTCAGGGTTCAGGGTTTTTAATATTTGTATTTAAAATGCATCGTTCCAGCCTGCGATAATTTTTTTTTTAAATTCCATGGGACGATTTTTCTCACTAACTCTCAGATTAATTGCATGCAAGGCATGACAGATTCTCTAATATGTCAAAAGGCTATTTTGCTTGATCTATTTCACATGGTACAACTTCCAGCTGAAATTATCATGACACACTTTTTAAAAGTCTTTTACTTGTTTTAGTATTATTTGATCTATAACTATTTAAAACAATAACAGTAATCTGTAAATAAACACACACATACACGCGCGGGTGCCTGAGAAAAGCAGCCAACCTAACCATCCGAGATCGAGTGAAAAATGAAACTATCAGGCAAATTGTGGGAACGACACCTTGTACTAGATTCATTGAGAAACAGCAGATCAAGTGGTTTGGCCATCTTGTTAGAATGCAGCAAGATTAAATACCATCACAAACACTACAACACAGAAGATCAACTACAAGAGCAAGAGGACGGCATTTATGAACAACAAAACAAAAAATCGACCACGCTTAACCTACTGGGAGCAGTATCGGCTATAACTGAGGTCTGGTTTCTGCGAACCAATTATTTTGGCTAAGAAATGTTAGTACTAGAGAGGGATGTTTGGGATGGAAGTGGTATCACTATTCACCACCCCCCGCCCCCCCCCGAACACACACACACATTTAGACGTACATAAACAATTACATGTGTATATATAATAGGGACTTTTAATTGGCTACTGAGGAAGAAGACGGACCTCGTATGGGAGGTATCCCAAAAGCAGTGATGTCAGTTCGTTATTTATACACTCATTTGTGTAAAAATATGAAGACCACACAACGACGTAACATTATCCTGGAGCTAAATTAGTTTGAAGTGTTCAAAACATTCATTAGAAAACTATTTGTCTTTACACGCAATCACTAATCAGCTTTGACAAATAGGTAAAACTTACAATAAACAAAAAGTTTTCACGCTGTAACGAGAATTTAGTAAATGGTGCTAGCCATGGTGCTTATACAAATCAGCACTAGATGAGTGGAAATATGGTCAAACTCATGCCTTTCGTTCTTACCTTCCGTGTCATTTCTTGGTATTCAGTATTACAATCACGCTGGAAGCCCTCGCCAATTAAGGTTCTCACCGGAAAGGAAATCAAGATCATAGTCACTACCATTGCAGGCAAGCGTTCAGAGTACTGCACTATCCAGAACTATCACTTATGAATGTTAAACTTTTTAATTTTCTAAATCTAGGAATTCAATTTTTCAAATATACTGGAAAACTTCTGTTTACACTAAAACGAGTAGTGTCAGGCAGAGCGTGTGTTCTATAGACAAAAGGAGTATAATTTTTTTTTTCTCCAGAAGAGACAGAGACACTAGAAACACGAACACCTGAGTCTGCCCCGAAGACTACGTCCTCTGTCACAACAACGCCAGGCTGTATTGAAAGAGACTTTGGTATTCCTAACAGGTAATTAAACATTTTTGTATGAACATAATGAACGTCTGAGAGAACGTAAAGAAAAAGAAGAAGTATGAACAATATTTAGCCATACCTCAGAGCAGCTACCTGGATGCAGTTAAAGGTAACATGCTGACAAGAGGAAAGTCTTCACGAGTGAGGCAGAAGACAATCACATACGTGTGTATGCTTGAGAATATTAGGCAACGAAAAGAGTGGGTCAGAAAAAGTCAGACACGGTTTTTGTGCTGGGAGTGCAGTTTTTGACTAGCAGTCCAAGTGGAAATTGCTAAGCATGACAATTCTTCCCCGGTGATATGATTGTCTATACATTTGGCTCAGTGTTAAAAATCAGATGAAAGGCCTAGGAGTTCACAGTGAAACCAAATGAACAACATTTAGTGTGGGAATACATGCAATATGAGGCGGCGTCGAGTTAGAGAATGGAAATGGAAGCAGTCACCAGAGCTAGGCTGCACTGGCTAGGGACCAAGCTGCACAAACATTTCGTGATTAAAAAGGACTCAAAAAGTATTCTGGCAAAGGGAAAGGAAGAAAAAATGCTTCTACCAGAGTGGCATACATAACTTGGAAGATCACAGTTAGCTAGCATCCTCTTGGACTGTTCTCGGTGACTAACCATTATAATGGACAGTAAACATACACACAGTGTCTGCTTCTGTATCACTTGGCAGTGAAGTGAGACATGACAAGACAGAAGAGCAAATGTCTTTTCGAAATACGTAAGCAGGCCAAGCACAACTACCCTCTGGAGAGAATGATGCACCGGAGAACGATCTGAGGATGTGACGGAGTCTCAAAATTCAGAAAAAAAAAAAAAAAACCGGCAAATAATCAGACGGCAACTGTCAGGATTAGTATTTACCTCTTAGTACTGACAAAATGTTGAGGATGGAAACAGAGCGCTTATAGAAATACCTCGAATGCCGTGATCAATTTAACTCCAGTGTAATTGTTACATCACTGGCCTTGTTGTTGAGTACGATTCAAGAGAGCTACAAGCTGTATCCATAACACACTTTTTGGCGTAGCAGTAGTAGTAGATTGTTACCCTACCAGGATATCACACAAGCGATAAACACCTGATGACACAAAGTGCCACCATGTGGATGACTAGCCGCTGTACAATTTTTAAGGGGGTGGACCTTAGTGGACCTAAGGCTTGTTTAAATGAGTAAAAATAACAATATTAATAGTGTTGTGCCTTGTGAAACATATAAGGGCATCACCATGTTGAGCTATAATGGAATGATTTTTGCAAAAATACTCTAATTTAGATTAGATCTCAGCTAGTACTAGAATCCTAGTTAAGTAAGAGACAGTTCGGTTTCAGGAAGGGAAGAGCTGCACAGATACAATATTGTCTTTAAGGCAGATATGCGAGCAGTATGGAATTCAAGATCGACTGTTGGATAACATCAGAGGCTCTTTACCAAGACAGTCAGTGCACAGCAAGAGCACAGAAAGAAAGACAGACTGGTGCCCCATCTCATGAGGTGACTGATAGGAATGTGTCCTCTCACCATTGCAATTAATTAATAACATGCAGAAGTCAAATTTTTTTCTGCCTGCCTCACGCGGGACTAGCAAGCCGGCAGTGATGTAATTTATTGCTACCGCGCAAGAAATATTGAATACATAAAGGACAGATTATTGCGGACTTCGGACCTGCAACTTTAAAGGACGAGATAGAACAACGTTTTGGATGGCTACTTGGAACATCAGCGTAATGGGAGACAAAGAGACTGAACTGGTAGAATTCATGATCAAAAATAAAATCAAAATCGTTGGGGATATCGGATATAAGAAGCAGAGGACAAGGTATGCATAAAATAAATAAAAAGTATAACTCTTACATGGAAAGGCACCCAACCAAGTGAGATTAACAAAAATGGAATAGGTTTTATCATTGCTCTGGAAATAGCTAAACTTATACTAGAAAGAATTATGAGCATCAAACTAGTAGTAGGTAGGAAAAGATTAACGTAACTCCAAGTATACGTCCCATCTAATGATACATACAAGCTTGAATACAGAATAAAATTACCACGAACCCACATGCATTTCGTCTGCCTCTCAACACAGAGCCATGTGTATAGATAATCACATCAGCTTGGCGGCAATTGTCTAGAATCATTTGTTGAACATCTGATTCTGCAGCACCAACTGACCAGTCCCTGAACTCAGGAGCTAAAGTGATCAGAACCATACACAAATCTGATACTTTGACACACTCCACTCCTCGCCCAAATTTAACAAGCCTGCACACATGTCTAATTGTGTCTTCAGCTTGCGCCATCCAAGACTTTCCTCCTTTTAGTCTGTGACCCTTAGCTCTACCTAAGGTGATGCTTCTTGTCTGCAGCTACTCTGAGATATGATTTTACTTGTAGTACTTTGAGCCTATCTGCAACAGTAGGCAGTGCAAGTATATATCGCATACACACTACCGGGATATCTATAATACATCCTAGAATTACCGGCATGGCTTCATTCTGTATGCGTTCAAATTTCATCAGACTCTCTGAAATGGGAAGCATTCCAAGTCCATAATCTACTACCGACAGGATCACATGCTGAAACAGTGTGATTAGCATTCTTTTTTCCATTACCATTGCTGCCATAATCTTCAGAGCATTGAGTCCTTTTAGCATTTCACTGCAACTGCCTCCACATGATCCCCGAAGGACAGGCTTTTATCGAAAATGATACCCAGGTACCACAGTTTGCTTTCTCTTTTAATGTTTCTGTCATTATTTATGAGGCTTGGAACATAAGCTTTTACAAATCTATTGTCTAGAGAGCACCATAGAACAGCTGCCTTTTTTGAGTTGATGACACCACCCGTCTCTTCACGCCAGTCAGTGACTTTGTCTATAGTTGCCTATACCTCTCAGGGTGTTTGTTTCCTATCGCTAACCTGCCTATTTTGATGAGCTGTAAACTGTGTGAACACTGGATGAAGTACCATGTCTAAATAAATTTGCAAAGATACTGGAATCTGAAGTTGAAAATACCTTTAAACAAAGTTTTGAAAAAAAAAGTAGACCAGAATCTTATAACTTGGGAGAAAGGCAAGAGGAAGACCAAGAAAGATGTAAACAAATGGTGTAGCTGAAACATGCAAAAAGATGAACAAATCTATTACCCAAGCTACCTGAGAAGCCGAAGACAAGTACAGAAAATGCTTTGGAGGCACAGAAGATTCCAAGTGACAGAGAGCAAGCAATCAGCGCCCACATTTGGAAGAACAAAGGTGACAATAGAGACGGTGAAACATACAGGGGCCATCTTGAGCCATACTTGAAAGATCTTTGCAATCATATTGGAATTGAGAGCGCGACCAGTACAAGAACCCCAGTTAAGTATCACAATTAACGAGACCATGATTAAGGGAACGCTTAGAGCTTACAAATTTTCTTTGGCCAAGCTCAGCCCCCTCCCCCACCCTCAGTTATTTTTGGGGAGAAGGAAGGAGGTCATCAAGGGACCTAAGTGCCACGTTCCGACACTCCAGCTTCTCTTCCACATTATTTATAATAACAAGTTATTATCTTGATCTAAAAATGTAGGAGTCCGGTATAGGAGTTTCATCAAAGTTTCTAGAAATACTTCTTCTTCTGCCTTCTATCCCCCAATGGAGCATAGGCCCTCAACCAACTGATGCCAAGTCGTTCTATCCTTCGCCATTACATGGAGTTCTCCCCATGTCCTCCCCATCTTTCTAACTTCATTCTCCAGCCCGCTTCTCCATGTGTTTTTTTTTCCCTTTCTTTATTCATATGCCCCTGTGGGTTCCAATGCAAAAACATTATAGTTATGCTGTTGTCCTGTTTTCTCAGTGTGTGCCCTATCCAAGCCAGCGTCTTTTCCTCACCTCTTGGTCCACTGAAGCATGTTTAGTTCTCTCCCAAAGCTCTACATTAGTTATTCTATCATACCATTTTATTCCCTCTATCCTGCGCAGGCACCAGTTAATGAATGTCTGTAATTTATTAGTAGTTGCCTTGGTTGTTCTCCATGTTTCCGCCCCATACAAAAGTACTGATTTGACATTAGAATTCTAGAAATACTATGGTTTATTTTAATTATTTACATCTTGACTGCTGTTTCTGGTGAGTCAAGGGGGTATAGGCCAACGTTATATAGTGCTATTCTGATATTCCTTACGTCCTTCTTAGGAGGTAATTTTTTGGTATTTGAAGCCCCACTCTGGCTTTTGCCAGGGGCCGCAATATAGGCAGGCTATCAATATGGCCAATTGTCTGAACGCGGTTTCTGGGACATCTCCACTGTGATCCTCATCCGCATGGTGGCACTTTGTGTCATCGGGTGTTTATCGCTTGTGTGATGTCCTGGTGGGGTAGAAAGTCAGTCTGTCATATAGTGCTAGACGTATATTGGTCATTTAGTAAACAATAAACATTCGATAAAATCAGGGGTATGTGGTGCAAGGCTTATATAAGTTATTTAGTAAAATAGTGATACATCAAGGGTAAAGGATGCTATACTCATACAGTGACCATTATATTGTGACCCTTGGAAAAAAAATAAACAGTTTTGTTTGTTCGTTAGTTTTCAATAGCAAAGTGAAGAAAAAAATCCAAAGTATATGGTACTAGGCTCTTATAAGCTATAAAGTAAATTATTTAAAACAAAATTATTGGTATTTTCCATTTTAGGTGGCTATTTCTCTTTCCTGCTGCCTGTTTAATTTACATAAAATACTAAAATATGCACCATTAGTATGGAAATAAGTCGCCTTACCATGAGAACATGTTTCAGAAGCTATGCTTTCAGTTGCTTCAATATAACAGTCGTAGGTAAGTCTTACGGACTCACATACTTGCAAACAAACACAATGTATTCATACACACATATACATACATACATACACACACAAACACGCACGCACGCACGCACGCACAGACAGACAGATAGACACTAGAACTTCCGAATGGACGCTAGACAGGGGCACTGTTTGGAGCTGAGGCAAATTTTTTGCTTCTGCCGGACGGTGGCCGATGCATTTTTGCTCCATTTGTAGACTGGGTATAGTTTCGTCGCCCAGCTTCTGAGTTGAATGCATGGCGTGACACTGTGAGCTGTGGATTTCATTTAAAATGTTTTTTTTTCGATTGTGATCAACGTGGTGGTGTGAACTGTAGATTCAGAAAATAGCGCGTTGCCTATCGTCGCGATGTTGGTAGTACCCGTATGTGATTAAAATTGATCGCAAGGGCAACTGCTGATTTGTTGGTTACTTCTGCTACCATCAATGATAAACCGCATTTCTAATGTCGGACTGTTTGTGTTATCACTTCAGATGGCTACCGTATGCTTTAATGTGTGTTGTATGCTAGATATGCTGAGACAGTAGTCTGTCAACCTCTCAACAAGGGACTGTGATAAACACTCTCTGTGTTTTTCGTTGGCATAGAAGCGGAGCAAAGATGGGGGTGACCCGTTTGCTATGAAGCTGTAACTAAGACTACCAGACAGACAGACAGACAGACAGACAGACAGACAGACAGACAGACAGACAGACAGACAGACAGACAGACAGACAGACAGACAGACAGACAGACAGACAGACAGACAGACAGACAGACAGACAGACAGACAGACAGACAGACAGACAGACAGACAGACAGACAGACAGACAGACAGACAGACAGACAGACAGACAGACAGACAGACAGACAGACAGACAGACAGACAGACAGACAGACAGACAGACAGACAGACAGACAGACAGACATAAATATATACACACATACATACATACATACATTTACACACATACATACATACATACGTATGCATTCAGATCTGTGTCTATGAGTATGTATGTATTTATATATATATATATATATATTGTGTGTGTGTGGGGGGGGGGGCGAAAAGGGGGGGGGGGTTAGTATATGCGAGCATGTGTGTGTTTGACATGTAAATTTTTTGTTAAAGAAATTTGACAAGCAAAGGGGTTCTGCCACATTCACTTTACATTTTGTGTGTGTGTGTGTTCTAGCAATGGACTTATGGGGCCTGATGTGACAAACAGCAATGTGGACCTTGCAAAGAAATCTGAGGAAAATGATTTTAATTTTAAGAACTGCAACAACACGTGAGTGTTATTTATTATTTCTGCATATTTGTTTATTTTGTATCTGTATTTCACAATTTCTCTTGATATAATGTCGGCGTCTGTGACTTAGACGTTGCGAACGAGCTTTGTAATGCTGTGATGTCAGGATCGATCCTAGCTGCGGGCCTTGCGCCTTGACTGACTGACTGACTTTCTACCCCACCAGGACATCACACAAGCGATAAACACCTGATGACACAAGGTGCCACCATGTGGATGAGGATCACCGTGGAGAGTTTCAGACAATTGGCCATATGTATGGCCTTCCTATATTGCGGCACCTGGCAAAAGCCAGGGTGGGGCTTCAAATAACAAACAAAAACAAAAAAAAAAAAAAAAAAAAATTGTCCTGAAAAGAACGTAATGATATATAGCTTGCGCCTTGCGTTGGTTTCAACAGTGGCATCGAGAAGTCGTCCGCCCAGAAAGCAAACTACTGGACTTAAACTTGCCTAGGAAAACCACAACAGCCAAAGAATGCCGGGGTTGGTTCTGCAACGTCCTGTAAAGAATGCGCAACTAACTTTAAATTTACATGATGAAATCAAACATTTAGATCATGCACGTACCTTCTTATCACTTGTAGGGCAGAGACCTAAAAAGCCTGCGTGCTTTCTATACAGGAAAAGAGGACAGCATTTAAAAGTGTTTCAAGCTGTAAGAATAAAGTTCATTTCCCTGAGTTTTACCCCACCCAGACCAGCCTCTCTCCTTGGAGCGCTTACCGCCTGCAAAGAGTGATGTCCTAACCACGAACTCCTTAGCTCCATCGATGATCCTCATAAAATTTAAACAAAAAAATATTGCACTAGTGAGCCAAACGACACAGTTCGAAATGAGCTGACTAATTCAGAATAGACTAACGGCTTGTTCCAGTATGATAAAGACACACCTTTTTCTTACGGGCCTCTCGCATCTGCCAGAACCTCTCGTCACTCCCCGCTGCATCAATCTCACCAGACTGTGGTGATCCATCTTCTCCTCCGAACTGTACACGCTCTCCCACAAGGCACTAACCACGTCTGCCTTATCATGTATCAGTATTCCACCAAGTTGTGCAGAGCCAGCCAGTCTGTCCGCCTGTTCATTTCCCAACACACCGGCGTGACCCGGTGAAAAAGTCCAGACAATACTCCTCACCTGTGTCCTCCGCAGCGAAGCATGCCACTCTGCACGAAGCATACCTGTTCTAATCTTCCTCAGTATGCTTTCTGAATCAGTTACAATCATGATGTGTGTGTGTGTCGTGTTCTCAAAACCAGTTAAAATTAGAAACCCTACGGATTACCAGAGGGTCAAAAAGTTATCATGAACGTTAGAGTTTTGCTTGGTGCATATAAGATCCTTAATATTGATTGTTTGCTGTTTAAAAAAAATGAAATGTATCTTCTGCTCCTTAACAGAACTATGAACATTAACTACATATACAATTATTTCAACGATGTTACCAATGCGTCAATTGGAACTGGCAGTAGCATTCATTTTTCTGACGGTAAGTCCAGTTGTTTTTGTAATGCTTTATGATACTACCAAACATTAAGTAGGTATTAAAATGTATGGTTTCGAGATTAATATATTGAATCCAAACGTTTATTTTCATGTTTAAATTTAAAAAAAAATTTAATCACCCTCATAGGCTGAGTTAAATAAAATATAATTCCAGTTTGATAAGTAACTAAGTAAATTGTACCCCACCAGGATATCACACAAGATAAACACCCGGTGACACAATATGTCACCATACGGATGAGGATCACCCGTGGAGAGGTCCCAGAAACCCCGTTCAGCTGTTTAGACCATATTTATGGCCCGGCTATATTTAGGGCTTCGGTAAAAGCCAGGGTCGGTCTTCAATTAACGAAAAATTGCGTCCCACATTTCAGTTTGATAGTGATTCGTCAAGCAAAGATTATAAAGAACTTATAGAAAAACTACATTGAAGCAAAATCATAAACTTGATCGCTATTTAATGCTAGAACTAACACATTACAGTGAATCAGTAGGTGGGACTACAACAACGTGTATAGCAAGAATGTCCTTACACTGGAACACTCACAGTTAAAAAAAATTATCTTGGACTTTGTACCAACAGGTACATCGATACTAACAACCTGGTGAAGTTAAATATAGACGGGGGTTGAAAAAAAAAATTAGTAAGGGCCTGAAGTGATGCACACGAGATGGCAAAGGAAATAAAAGCGTCACAGAGCGATAACGTAGCACAAAACAGGAACTCTATAACTCAAGCAAGACCACAATAGATCTCAGAAACAATAGATCTCTCTTCGCAAAATCTGAAATTATACCCACCAATAGGCAAAAGGCTTAACCGTTGGTCTTTTTATAAGTGTTATTATTTCATCTATCAGTTCGTCCTTTAATGGGTGAAGAAATTAACATCAGATGCTGTAAAGAAGCCAAATATTGCGACAGCTACCCCTTCCCTTGCAACATAGGACAATCCCAATCAACACACAAAAACATCTAAAAAAAAGTATATTCATTTGTCAGTGTCAGGTATGCTCATTCCCAACAATCCATAAAAGAACATTCGTTTCCACGGAAATGAGATTTCAGAGAAGGGCTGCAAGAGTGTCTAGAAGATATCAAATCAGAAATGAGGTCTGAGGAGAAAAAGTCGGCACATAACCAATTCTAAATTACATACAAAGACAAGAAATCAAACAGTTTGCCCACCTGGAGAGAATGCCTTGCGACGCCATACCGCAAGGGCATACACTAAGAGAGGAGAAGAAAGCCCTAGAGCACGGGGTAGACCAATAACAAGAACGAAAGTTAATGTCAGAGACATTCTTCAATAGCATGGCGTTTCACAGTGTACCAAGCAGGATAACTGCAATAGAGACAGTGAGTATTGGGCGAATTCAGACTTTAGCTAACGATGTTTTAGTCTACATGCAGGGGAGAAATAGAATGGCAATATCTAGAGAATTGCAGAAAGCGGTAGACAAGGTAGGGGAGTTGTGTGAAAAAAAATAAGTTATATCATCAACTCAGGCATAAAGAGAGTGAATTCACTGAAATATCTTGCCACACGGAAGAGCTAGTTTTAAAGATAAGGAAAGAACTCAGTGTGTGGAAGGTGACAGACAGCATGGACATGGAAAAGAGAATGCTCTAACACAACTGATTACTTCGGCAATGGAGTGTGGTTTAGGCCTTGTCACGTTATCAAACAGCTAAACAGAAAAGCAGGAAGGCATGAAAAATGAAGCTATGTGAATCATTTTGAGATGTACGCTTGACATACGCCAATCGTGTGCATGTCTGTTGTTTATAGAGATGGTCTATCTGATTTATTAGTCGCTCCATCTAGTGAGTGCTAGGTTAATTTTTGAATCTCATTATAATCAAACACGGAGCCTCCAGTTACTAGATCTGACTGCATGCAGAAAAAGTTCAGCTCGTATGGTTCTCCTCATTTATACTGTTTATCGTAGTTTTAACTGCCTTTCTCCATGTATAGAGCTGAAGTCTTTTCCTGCTATCTTTTACTGATGTATGTACGTTTTTCTCTTCTATAGTTTTCTTTTGATCATCCTCTATTTCAAGTGCTTCAGATCTGTTTTTCAGCTCAAACTGAATCCATCTAAATTTTTGCTTCTGTACTTTTTTTCGTGCAGCTCTTGCAATTCTTGGGGCCAGAAGTGTTCATAGTTTTGCCTTCAACTTCAGAGGATTGAAATTTATGCTGCCTCGAATATGAAAAATATGTACATACATATACTCACTATCACTATGGGTTGTAAGTCCTATGTCTCCCGATAGCACATTGTAACAGTTTTATCTGGAAAGATAGAAAGGTACTAACAATTATGCTTTATATATATATATATATATATATATATATATATATATATATATATATATATATATATATATATATATATATATATATAGCTCTCAGCTAACAGTGTCTGTCATACCCTCCTCCTCTCCCTCTCCGAAGGATTGAAAAATCATTCATGGCGAAATTATTAAAAAAGAAATAGTTAAGAAATAAGAACTTTAAAATAATATTTTAGGCTGTCTCAGCTAACTGTGTTTGGCATAACCCCCCCCCCCCCCCCCACCTTTTCCACCAATCTTATTTCGCTCTCCGTAGGATTGAAAAATTATCACCTGGCGAAATTATTAAAATAGAAATAGTTAGGAAATGAGAACTTTAAAATAATATTTTAAGCTCTCTCAGCTGTGTCCAGCATAACCCCACCCTCTCCCCCTTTCACCCAATCATATTTTCTCCGAAGGATGGGAAAGTCACCGTGTAACGAAATATTGTAACTAAATTGAGCTTGGCATCCGTGTCCACCCAGACTTAAATAGGTAGCATTAACTTGTACAGAGAAGTAAATGTAGCCAGTGTAACAGCTACCACATCACCCATCCAGGACCAGTACTACTGCAACGACAACCACCACCACCATTACAACAACAACAACAAGAACTGTCACAACAGTCTGTGTAGGTCGGTGTCGAAAAGAGGAGTTAGCGCCGCATGCTGTCGCCACAGACTAATTAGATTGATTTTGTCCTGGACAAAAGGGGGAAAAAAAACTTCATCATTTAACCAGTGATGTAACCCACAGTGAAAAGTACACTATACTCAGAGTAGCGGAGAAAAATACCCCGCACCCGTCATCTCTCCTTCTCCGAGGGAACAATTTTTAACTGACCCTGACATCCGTGTCCACCCAAACTAAACTGGACTGTAAGCCGTCTTAGTTAATAGTTTCTGTCATCGCCGAATAGTTTTTGATCGAGGAGCGTCGCGGGGAGGCTAATTAGGACTTAACTTCTTCTTCTTCGCGTTCACCAGCTGTACACTCTGGCGGAAAGTTCTGGTTGCTCGTCCACTAATGAACTGCAGTCCTGCTCCAGAACCTGAGTGTTGCGTGTGCATCAGTTTTACAGATCTCATTCTCTTGAATACAGACTGTTGGTTCCTTGCCTCTCCGGCAGATGCACTCCGACTTCAAAGGAAGCTCCCCAATTAGTCGACTCTTCCTGCTTTCGGGAAAGCAGTGGGTCTATTCTTGTTTTCCCCACAATGGGGCCCCGGAACCCACACGGGGGTAGGACTTAACTGAAATCGGATGTCTTTGGGCGAAAGGCGCAGAAATCACAGCCTAGCTGTAAACCACAACACAACGTGGCAACCACCCTTTTAGGGGAAAAAGAACAATTATCACCCAGCAGGGAATCGAACACCGGTCACCCGAGTGAAGAATGACATACTTACAACTATGCTACCGACGACTGAAGAGTTTAGGTCAGATATCGCAGCCTGGCTGTAAACCACAACACAACGTGCCAACGGCCCTCTCGAGGGCGAACGAAGATTACCCGTGACATGACCATTGAGCATCACGTCGCCGCTGTTGCAGGCTAGCTGTAAACCCCAAAACCGAAAAAGGCGTAGATATCGCAGCCTAGCTATAAACCACAACACAACGTTGCAGCCGCCCAGTTGGGGCTTAAAAAAGATTATATAACCTAGCGGGGAATCGAACGCGGGTCACTCGCATGACAGGCAATAGCTACGAACTACGCTATCAAACAATCAAGCAAATAGTGGAAATGAAATTATATAATAATACAAAGTTCAATAAGAGCTCAGCAGTCAAATGTGGCCGATCACATAAAAACAAATCCGGGCCGGCAACGAAACAAATAATGATTTGACTGTTGCTGGAGCAACGTCGTTCGTGGTTTGTGCGATTTTCTGACAAAAAATCACGCTTGGAATCAAAGGCAACGTTGTGTGCAAATTTGAAAGCAATCGATTCAGTAGTTTTCGAGTTTTTAGCTAACGACATTGGAAAATTAACATATATATATATATATATATATATATATATATATATATATATATATATTTTTTTTTTTTTTTACGTATCCAGAAACCATGAGTTGTAAACCCTTTGGCTCGGTACTATGGATATCGCAACCCTTCGGCCTTGATTCCATTATAGGTACCATTAATCTGGGAGAAAATGTGGCTTTTCTGCCTACCCCCGGGAATGAACCCGGACCACAAGGAGTATATATATATATATATATATATATATATATATATAAAATCTTCGAACATTCACCCCCCAATGGAGAATAGGCCCTCAACAAACTCACGTGGGATAGTTTGCTATTGCGTCTAGTTCGTCATCAAGTCGTCCTCATCTTTTTAACTTTACCTCCCTACCCCGTTTTTTTTTTTTTTTTAGAACAAGACCAGGAGGCTATGTATTCTTTGGATGGACCGGCAACAGGCGCTATCGCGGCATTGTCCGACAGGGGCTTGAGTTTCCTTGCTTCCAGGCTTGGCGGAAATTGGACGGCCGTCGTCCTACAACTGGGTGTTCCCCAAGTGCTGATAGAGCAACTTAAGAACAGCCACCAGCACGATGTTCATCAACAAATTATGAGCGCCCTTAGACGATGGCGGGAGAAAGATCGAGACACCAAGAGCCCATTCGACAAGTTGAAATTCTTGTTTGATGTCTTGACCAGCGAGTCGATCGGCCTGACGGAGTTGGTGGAGCAGTTTAAACAACACTTTCAGTTGTGATGGACTCGTTTGTAAGTTAATGAAAATGCACGCCTGGCTGTGTGTTTCTTAACTGAACCTGGAAAAAAAAAGTTGCTTTGACATTTGTATAAATTAAGTGGTGAGTTGTGGTGATTGATGTATGAGGTAATACGTTGAATGGCCGATGTATACGTGATACCTACAGGTGCTGTATGTATATGTATTACAGAGGTGGTATCTGTATGTGTTACAAACAGAGGTGACACATGTTTGTGTGATACATGGAAGGGGTACCTGTATGTGTGATACATGGAGGATGTACGTGTATATGTGACACATGGAGGTGGTACATATATGTGTGATACATGGAGGTGGTACATGTATGTGTGATACGTGGAGGTGGCACATATATTTGTGTGATACGTGGAGTTGGTGCATGTCATGTATGTGTGATACGTGGAGGTGGCACATATATTTGTGTGATACGTGGAGTTGGTGCATGTATGTGTGATACATGGAGGTGGTACATGTATGTGTAATACATGAAGGTGGTACACGTATATGTGATACATGGAGGTAGTATATGTATGTGTGATACATGGAGGTGGTACATGTATGTGTGATACATGGAGGTGGTACATGTATGTGTGATACATGGAGGTGGTACATGTATGTGTGATACATGGAGGTGGTACATGTATGTGTGATACATGGAGGTGGTACATATATGTGTGATACATGGAGGTGGTACATATATGTGGGATACATGGAGGTGGTACATATATGTGGGATACATGGAGGTGGTACATGTATGTGTGATACATGGAGGTGGTACATATATGTGTGATACATGGAGGTGGTACATATATGTGTGATACATGGAGGTGGTACATATATGTGTGATACATGGAGGTGGTACATGTATGTGTGATACATGGAGGTGGTACATATATGTGTGATACATGGAGGTGGTACATATATGTGGGATACATGGAGGTGGTACATATATGTGGGATACATGGAGGTGGTACATGTATGTGTGATACATGGAGGTGGTACACGTATATGTGATACATGGAGGTAGTACATGTATGTGTGATACATGGAGGTGGTACATGTATGTGTGATACATGGAGGTGGTACATGTATGTGTGATACATGGAGGTGGTACATGTATGTGTGATACATGGAGGTGGTACATGTATGTGTGATACATGGAGGTGGTACATGTATGTGTGATACATGGAGTTGGTACATGTATGTGTGATACATGGAGGTGGTACATGTATGTGTGATACATGGAGGTGGTACATGTATGTGTGATACATGGAAGTGGTGCATGTATGTGTGATACATGGAAGTGGTACATGTATGTGTGATACATGAAGGTGGTACACGTATATGTGCTACATGGAGGTAGTACATGTATGTGTGATACATGGAAGTGGTACATGTATATGTATTACATGGAGGTGGTACATCTATGTGTGATTGTATATGAATGTATGATACATGGAGGTGGTACATGTATGAGGGATACATGGAGGTGATACACGTATGTGTGATACATTTAGGTGATACACGTATGTATGATACATGGAGGTGCTACGTGTATCTGTGATACAAGGAAATGGTTTATGTATGTCTGAAATGCCGGGCTGAAAGGCACAGAAATTGCAGCCTAGGTGTAAACCACAACACAAAGTGTCAGACGTCATTTTAAAGGCAAACGAAGAAAGTTATGAATATTTTTTTGTCAGTAGAGTTTCTGAAAATTGATGAAGCACTATGGAATCCCACAGAAAATTATTAACCTTATAAAAGCAACAGATAGTGTCACAATATATCGAGTTCTCTATGAAAGAAAGGTAACAGATATATTTCAAATAAGAAAAGTTGTCTTTTTTCGCACTCTTGTTTCTTCTGGCAGTTGACTGGATAATAAAGACAGTAACTTCTAACACCAGGATTGGTTTTCAGTGGCCTTCTGCAAAACAGCTTGATGATCTGGACTTTGCTGGTGACACTTCTCTTCTATCCCACTTACGGAATCAGATGTAAGATAAATTAAAAATACTTGGTGCAAGATCACAACACTTAGGTCTAACAATGCACAAGGTAAAGGTAATAATAAATATAATAAATCAGGCAAACAGAAATCTAATATCTCCTAATGATTTTCAACTCCATGATGTCGAGTCATACAGCTATTTGGGCAGTAATCTAGATACTGTACCGGGGGGAGGGAGGGGGGGGGGTGGAAAGGAAAAAAAAATGGGGAGGGGCTGATAGATATATTAAAATACGAATACAAAAAAGCAAGAGGAATTTTCATAGCAAAAGAAAATTTATGCAGGTCAAAAGAAATTAAAAATAATAATAAACTTAAAAATATTTTAATTTTAACGCCAAATACTGTTACATGGAGTCAAAGCATGGAGAACAACTAAAACATTTACTACCAAACTACAGACATTTACTAATTGTTGCCTGGTATGTGATAGAATAACTATTGTTGATCTTTGGGAGAGAACTAAACAAGTTTCAGTGGGCCAAGAGGAGAGAAGGACGCTGGCGCTGAATAGGACACACGCTGATAAAACATAAGAACAATATAATCAGAATGTAATTGCACTGGAGCTCGCAGGTCCCTAGAAAAAAGGCAAACCAAAAACTAATTGGATAAGAAAACTACAGGATGAAGTTGGGGGACGATATGGGATGAGCTGCATGCAAAAGCAAAGAATAGAACCACTTGGTGTGTGTTGATTGAGGGTCTATGCGTCAATGGGGAATACAGGACAGAAGCAAAGACACAAGAAAATAGTTGTTGCTAAACCAGCTGAGTACAGTGCACAAACAGTGCATTGCCAGCGACGATCTAAATCCGTGAATCCTCTTTGGGCTCTGTGATTTCCAGATGCGAATGAATAGATTTTTCTCTCTTTCCATGGGCAGTATTGAGTTGAAGACCTGTGTTCTGTTGGTGATTAAAGGGCACATGGAGAGAAGAAGAATAGGAATATACACTGAGTGTCCGATCTAGTGAAATGTCCTTTTTTTCCTGTGTAAAAAACTGTAAAAATCTTTAAACCGAATAGAGTCTGTACAGAGAACACTTGAAAATTGGGACAACAAAACATATGTTGCAAATAAGCAAATAGGTGGTGGTGTGTTGTTATACACAGTTATTGATTATAAATACTTCAATATAAAGAGTTCGCATTTTCTGGTTTACAGGTGCAGCTTCTGTGTAGTTGAGTCAACAGCTGCTCATCAATGTAATAATTCAGGAGCGGCATTTTCGTATAGCAAAGGGGAAAGTTCCTCATCAAATCCAGTCTTGTCTTCACGATGGAGATTGGCTGCAGTGGATCTACAACAGTCTCTGGCCATCTCCTGCCTTGGTCCTACATTCCGCTTGGTTGTTATTTGCCCATCTACTGATGTTGTATCCTCAGTTGTATCTTCTTCCTTTCATATCTTAACATCCCTCCCCCTTCATCAACACCGTTTTTTTAAGTGTGATGTACCATTTAATGGGGTATAAATATTTATGTTTTTATTTAATTTAAAAACAAAAAGTGGAAGTTGCATGAATTTGAAACATGGATTTATTTTCTTTAGTTTATATTCTGTTGCAATATCAATGTCTTATTAAGAAACAAAAAATACTTCCATCGTATTCATTACATTTACACAACACTAAACACCCACACACACACACACACACACACACACACACACACACACACACACACACACACACACACACATTTCATACTATAATTTTGCGTATAATGAACACGATGACAGTATATAAATTTGATGTATGTATGGGCAGTATCAACTAGTGTTTATATTTTTAATTAGAGAAGGTGTGTTAATTATTTCCACCAAAATTGTGTTTGCTTTTCAGAATTTTATTCACAACATACAGTCATTTATACTCACGTTTTAAAATTATGTAATTCATTTATTGTTGAAATATTGTATGTACACTTTATCCTGGCTAGCTGACTTTGGATTCTACAGAAGACAGTTTTAACTCTTTGGGTCAAGTTTTCTTGCATTCTGACTGTCTGATCACTGACTGTGGATTATATCTATATGAAGAATTTCCTTTCACCCAGGGTGTATTGTAGAGCTCTCATTTTGTACATGAAAGTTAAGATCAACAATTCTTTTATCGAAATCAACACGCATTTGTCTGCACGAGGTAGCTAGAATTGTTTGTTGTCAATTTGTTTATAATTTATTGATTATTCTTTATAATAGTTATCTAATATTTTTTTTATATGTGTAGTTTTTGTAGCCATTTTCTTCAGTGAGCTTTATTTTTGTGGTTCATTCTCGTGTAATAAATATATCCTTCCGGTGTATACTATTTAATATTTCCCCCCCCCCCCCCCCCCCGTTATTTACCTTTAAAATATTTTGTGAACTTATCAAACATATTTTTTTTCCATATCACATTATCTAGTTGACAGTGACATAGTTTGGGGTTTGGAGGTGGAGTGGGAGAGGGGTGGGGGGGTGGGGGGTGGGGTGGGGGGGGAGTTGTATGAGGGTGGGAAGAAAGGAAGAAAAAAGGAACGACCGTGGCATCGTGACATATTTGCTGTAAATTGGCCCCTAGTTCATTTGTTTTGTAAACACCAACACTGGGCGTTTACCACTGCTGGATTTAGGTATAAGCTGAACAAACTGCAGCTTAAGGCCTCATAATCTTAAGGGGCCTCAACAAAGTCTTACTGTGTTTCGCAAATGCAATTTTCTTTTAATAGAGCCTTTCTAATGTTATATAATTTCTACTGAGCACTTATGGGAGTGTCCCGAGTGCTGTGATGTCAATTCTTAATTCAACACTCATTTTATACATGGAAGTAGAGATCAAGCTTTTTTTTTTAGAAACCAAAATCAACATACATTTGTTTGGATGAAACCAGCAATAGCTAGAACTTCTTCTTGTCAGTTTATTTATAAAGTAATGATTATATAGTAAAATAGGTATATAATATTTGTTGATATATTTAGTT